GCAGCAGCAGCGGCAGACTCCGCCGTGTCTGCACTAGATTTGCTGCCAGATGCCCTTCTCACTTCTCTTATTCAGGCCTTGGGGAGGCAGCAAGCAAAGGCCTCAGACCCGCGGCTGCAGCAGGACCTCCTGGAGGTAATTTCAAATGCTGCTGCTGCTGCTGCTGCTGTTCCTGCTGCTGCAGATTCCACTTTTGCTGCCGCTGCTGCTGTTTTGCTGCTGCTGATGCTACTTTTGCTGCTGCTGCTGGTGACCCCGTGCACCTGTGTACCTGTGTCCCGTGAGAGAAGCTGCTGCACCTTTGCTTCCATTTGTTCATTTCATTTATTTTTATTTCAATTCATTTCAACTATTTTAATTCATTTTGTTATTATTAATTTTTGTTTGTATTTATTTATTTTGAACAGCACCAGTTTATTTCCCGTGGCAGGCTTTCGCCTTGTGTGTCCATTCAGCTTCTTTTTAATTATTTTGAAGGATGATAAAAGACTTTTCGCTTTAATGAATTGTTATCAATCATAATTTACTTTTATGAATTATAATTATTATTTATTTTAATCTATTATTTTTATTATTTTAATCATTCAAATCATTTCAATTTCCTGTTTTCGCTCGGCCGACGATGCTTCGGCTGTCCTTGCTGCTGCTGTTAATTTTTGTTTTTTCTCATTTTTTAGTTCAAATTGGATTTAAAAAAGAAAATAATTGACAGAAATGCATTTTAATTTAAATAAAATGCAGGAGTATTCAAATAAATGGGATAATATGACAAAAGACGCTGCTGCCGGTGTGCGCAGTTACGCAAGAAAGTGCAGCAGCAGCAGCAAAATGAGCTTGCATGCACTTGCTGCTGTGGGGTGTGCTGCAGTGTCTGTCCAGCTCGGCGCTGCGCCGCTGCTGCAGCAGCAGCTTGTCTCTTTTCTCTTGCGGGCAGCAGCTGCTGGCTTTCTACCGTCTTCGTTTCTTCAAGCTGCAGCTGCTCGAGGCCTTCAGCAGCAAATTCGCAAAAGCAGCAGCAAGGCTCTACGCCCAGCTGCAGCAGCAGGAACAGGCTGCGCAGCACACGCGCCTGCAGCAGCAGCAGCTGCAGCAGCAGCAGCTCCAGCTCTCCTCGCTGCAGCACGCACTGCTGCAGTCCCTCACGCTCTCGGTCAGCTGGAGCTTTGATGTTTCCTCCTTTTCTGCTGCTGCTGTTGCGTTTCCTGCTGCTGCTGCTGTATTTGCTGCTGCTGCTGCGGCTGCTGCTGCAGCTGTGTCTCTAGACTGTTGCGGGGCTGTACAGACAACGGTGATGGGCCGCATGGGCGTTTTGCATTTGCCGCTGCTGCAAACAGTGACAAAGGTGAGCAGCAGCCGCAGCAGCAACAGCAGCAGCAGCAAATTCAGCAGATAAATGAGCAGCTCTAGCTGCACCGGCTAGTCGGCTTCTCTTCTTTTGCTGCTGCCGCTGTTGCGGTTGCTGTTGCAGCCGTTGTCTCTGCCTCTGCTGCTATTACCGCCGCCGTTGCAGCGCTAACGATTGCTGCAGCTGCTTGTGCTTCTGCTGCTGCTGCGGGATCTGTGGGGTTGCTGCTGCTGCTGCGGTGTCTGTACACCCAGATCCATATTTTCTTCCCCCAAACAATCAGCGCCATGGGGGCCTCGCAGCTGCTGCTTTGCTGCTCCCAGTTTTGGAAGCAGCAGGAAGGAGACGCTCAGCTGCGGGCCTTCTTGCGTGAGCCTTCTGCTGCTGCTGCTGCTGCTGTTGCTGCTGTTTATCCTGTGCTGCAGGCCCTTCGCTACTGTTTTTGCTGCTGCTGCTGTTGCCTCTGTTGCTACGAGAGGTGTCGCTGTGTTTGCCGCTGCTGCACGCGCTTCTAGGTCTCGAGCTGCAGCCGCGGCTGTTCTAGCTGCTGCTGCTGCTGCTGCTGTTGCTGCTGCTGCCGCTGCTGCAGGCTGGGCGTTGCCGCGCCTGTTTAATGCTGTCCGCGAGCTGGCAGCGCCGCTGCCACCGCAGCAGGCTCTAAACATTTTAGCTGCTGCAGCACAAATACAAATGAGAGACGCAAAAACTATTTCTTATCTTCTTTGGATTCTTTCTGGACAGTCCACAAGCAGCAGCAGCAGCAGCAGCAGCAGCACGCAGCAGCAGCAGCAGCAAAGTGATGGGAGCTGCAGGGCGCCCCACAGGGCGTTCGCTGCTCAAGGCAAATCGCTGCAGTACACAAATGAAGTTTTCCGTGAGGCAAATCCTAAAACCTAAACCCTAAACCCTGATTCAAAGCTCCATCGCATCGTAAACCCTAGCTTAGGCCAGTGCGCAGCAAATCCAGCAGCTGCTGATGAGGGACGAAAACAATGTTTAAGGTTTAGGTTTTGGGGTTTAGGGCTTAGAGTTTACGGTTTAGGGTTTTTTAAGGGTTTAGGGTTTAGGGTTTAGGGTTTAGGCTGTTGGCTCATATCTTTATTTTGGGGTTTTACAGACGATCTAAACCCTGCACCTTCGCCTTTCTGCTACCCTGCGGTGGGTTTAGGGTTTAGGGTTTAGGATTTAGGGTTTCAGGGTTTGGGGCTTGGGGTTTAGGGTTTCTCCAGGGCCTAGGATCCACCGTTTAGCCTCTGTATAGTGTTCAGGATTCAGGGTTTAGGGTTTAGGGTTTAGGGTTTAGGGTTTAGCTTATTTTTTGGCACGAGCAGCTGCATAGCCCTCATCTCTGCGCAGGAGCCTCCATGCATGCAGCTGCACCAAGACTCAGAAATTAGGGTTTAGGGTTTAGGGTTTAGGGTTCAGGGTTTAGGGTTTAGGGTTTGCGTTCAGATGCCGCCGTGTCCCTTTGACGCGGCCAAGTGCCGGGTGCTGCTCGAGGGTTTGGAGGCGCAGCAGCTAACAGCTCTTGTGGGGTTTGTGGACTCTCTGGCTTTCTGGACTCCAACAGCAATGCACATCGTCTACCAGGTTTGCTGCTGCTGCTGCTGCTGCTGCTTCTGCTGCTGGTGGTGCTGCTGCTGGCGGTGCTGCTTCTAGTTTGTGTGCTATTTCTGCTGGTGCTGGTGGTTTGGAAGCTGCTGCTGCTGCTGCCGTTGCTGCTGCTGTTGCTGCTGTCGGTTCGTTTGGTGCTGCTGCTGCTGCTTATTGGTGTGCTGCTGTTGATGCTTTTGCTTTTATGCCGCTACTTCTGCTGCTGCTGCAGCCGCAGGCGCCGTTGCTGCAGTTCGTGCTGCAGCAACAGCCTGGTGCTGCTGCTGCTGCTGCTTCTGCTGCTGCTTCCATTGCTGCTTCCCTTGCTGGTTGCTGATATTGGCCGCCGCGACTGTTCAAACTGCTTCTGCACCTGCTGCTACTGCTGCTGCTGCTGCTGCTGCTGCGCAGGTGTGGGAACTGCTGCAGGGGCAGCTGCACGACATGCGTGCTGCTCAGATTTTGACTTTGGCGCTGGCATTCAGAGACTGGCATTTTAGAGATTGGTAAATAAATAAAACAAAAAGAAATTGATTAAATTTAATTTAATTTAATTTAATTTAATTTAATTTAATTCATTTCGGAATTTCCTGCTGCTAAGCGTCGCCTGGTGCAGCGCTTCATACGCGCTGCTGCTGTTGTTACTACTGCTGCTGCTTCTGCTGCTGCTGCTGCTTCTGCTGCTGCTGCTGCTACTCCTCCTCCAGGTTTTGCTCGTTGTCTTGCTGCTGCTGCTGCTGCGTGTAGGTAGCGAGAGAGCTGCTTCGAAGCTAAGCTAGGGTTTAGGGTTTAGGGTTTAGTGTTTGCTGCATTTGTGCGTGTCTCTGGCTCCTTAGGGAAATGCCCCTGGAGCTGCCTGAGCCAGAGGGTGCAGCAACAGCAGCAGCAGGGGGCGCAGCAGCAGCAGCAGGGGGCGCAGCAGCAGCAGCAGGAGGGTCCGGGGTCCGAGGTCCCGCGCTGTGTCTGTCTGAAGCGAACGCAGCAGCAGCAGCAGCAGCAGCACTAAGCCCCCGGCTGGCGCTGCTGCTGGCCTGGAAGGAAGATTTAATTTGCTGCTGCATCGAAGCCATGGGCAGACACCTCAACTATGCAGCAGAAACTTGGGGCTGCCTCCGCAAGGCCCGGCTGCTGCAGCACGCTGTCAGCCTCGGCCTGATGCTTCCCCACCTGGACCTGCTGCAGCAGCAGCAGCAACAGCTTCAGCGGGTGCTGCAGCAGCAGCAGCAGCAGGTGCAGCAGCCGCAGCAACAGCAGCAGCTGCTGCTGCAGCAGCACGTGCAGCAGCAGCAGCAGCAGCGGCCCAGTCTGGTGCTGCACCTCCCCATTCGTGGGGACTTGGGGCCCCTGCCGCTGCTGGAACTCACCAGCAGCAGCAAGCTGGGGGCCCCCCCCACCGATACCTCACAGGGGGCCCCCCAGAGGGGCCTTCCTTGGGGGGCCCCCCGAGACGCGGCCTCCCCTGGGGGTCCCCCTGCCTGGGGGCCCCCCGCAGGGGGCCCCACTTGGGGGGCCCCCTCGGGGGGCCCCTCTTGGGGGGCCCCCCCGTGGAGCCCCCTTTGGGGGGCCTCCTCTGGGGGCCCCCCGGAAGAGCGCTGTGCTGCTGAGCAGCTGGGAGTTGTTGCTGCCG